TATATGGCAATAATCAGCAAATGTGGGAAATCGTGGCCTAATGGTTAGAGAGTCAGACTCGTAACCCAAAGGTTGTGGGTTCAAGTCTCATACCGGCAGGGATTGTAGGTGGGGGGAGTGAATGAACAGAGCTCTCTCTCACCTTCAATACCACGACTGAATGGCTTGTGGTATTGGGCAGAAAAAATGGCTGCCCACTGCTCCGGGTGTGTGTTCACTGCTGTGTGTGTGCACTTTGGATGGGATAAATGCAAAGCACTAATTCTGAGTATGGGTCACCACATGTCGCTTCACTTCACTTCAATATGCTTTCACACAAATAACTTTATTTTTGAATGTTTCAATATGCGTTGACACAAATGATTTATTTGAATTTTTCATTGATACAACATTGCACTGAGTTGTTAGAAAATAAATGCGTAGAGACGTTATTGCTTGATGACGTCAGGAACCGATGAATCGGCTTTTTGAACTGGTTCGTGGAAATGAATCGGACTTTGCATCACTAACCAAGACACAGAAGACCAGGGCTGCTTTCCACTCCACTTTTAGACACGCACTCACAAACTTCCCTAAGCACTTCCCCTCGGGGGAATCTCCGCTGCCATTTTGAAGTGCATTCCTCTTCGCGAAGTGGATGAGGGAAGTTTATATGGACAGACCCTCGACCCCTCGATTTTGACAGAGGGAGCGAGTCTGCTTCATATGCACACTTCAGACCGCTCCATAGACCACAATGCAACATGATTGTGACGTCATCGCAGATCGCGTTTAATTTATCCCCACCCCAAACAACTATAATATATAAATGATTTTTTTTTTACATTTATAACAGCCCAAACATATCTATATACATATAGAATGCTGCACCAAACAAATTCATAAGGGAAAAAATGTAAACAATAAACCAACTCCACAGCTGATTCTAAGTGATCTAGGGTTTAGGATGTTCCAGTTCAGCCCATTCCAAGGGTTCCGCCAGAAGTGGGCACTCATGCAACGTAATCGATAACATATATCCGAGTAACTGAGACGAAGAGAAGTTTGCCAGTGACGGGCATAACCCCCCCGGACTGGAACGCAGCCCAGGATACAAGGCATAGAATGCAGTAATGACACATACAAAACTTAGCAAAGAATGACAGATAACTGGGCTTTTGTAGGGTGAGCTAACAAGGCTAATGAAACACAGGTGCAAACAATGAGAGCTGATTAGACCAGGCAGAGGATTATGGGGAATGAAGTCCTTGATGAAGTGGTGGCAGTAGACTGGGATGTGACAGCTGGTGATCGTGATAGTGTACTGTGATATGATGCTGTTTTGTCATTTTAGATTTTTTTTGTTATTTTGGAAGGTCTGTTGTGCTCACCAAGGCTGCATTTACTTGATGAAAATAGCAATTTTGTGAAATATTATTACAATTTAAAATATCTGTTTTTTATTTTAATATATTTTGAAATGTAATTTATTCCTGTGATTGCAAAACTGAATATTCAGCATCATTACTCCAATCTTTAGTGTCACATGATCCTTCAGAAATCATTCTAATATGCTGATTTGGTGCTCAAGTGGCATTTGTTATTATCAATGTTGAAAACAGTGCTGCTTAATATTTTTTGTGGAAACAGTGATACATATTTTAGGATTCTTTGATGGATAGAAACGTTAAAGGAACGGCATTTATTTGAAATACATATTTTTGTAACAATGTAAAAGTACTGTCACTTTTGATCAAACGAATGCATACTTTCTGAATAAAAGTAAACAATTTCTTTCTGACTTCAAACTTTAGAAAAGTAGTGTACATTCACTCTAGCCATGATATTCTTTAAAAAAAAAAAGCCCTTTAATTTCAACAGAAGAAGTAGTCATACAGGTTTGGACTTGAATAAATGTAATTTTTTGATAAAAACTTTAATGTCACTATCTGATAAAATCTCCTCAGTTTAATTCTTGACTTGTATCGCCATGTGCTGAATGTAGCTGTCGCTGAATAAAACACACATTCTTGTGAAGGGAAGCTTCTGTTTAAGGACATGTGGTTTCTCATATGGCCTGTATCTCAAGCATGATCAAAACAGCTTTCGTTCCTCACGTCAATAAAATATAAATACTCCTGTGCGTGAAGAACCTCTCCACACTGATTTGCACAGATTTCTTTTCCTGTTTTAACATCTCTTGTGTGGCCTCACATGTGTCTGTAAATTCAAATTCATTTGTACATCATGTTTCAGTGACCCATTCTTCTCAATAAAAATTAAATATATGGACATCCATCATCCAGGGTGTTTCCCTGATTACGGTCCGCAATGCTGGGATAGGCTTCAGTAACCTCTGACCACATAGGCCAAGAGTTTGGAAAATGGACGGATGGTTGGAGACCTATAATTGTACTACAGAAATAATTGTCAGGGTAGACTTTGGTACCTTATATCCTTTTCCTGAGAAGACATTTCAACCTTTAAGTTTAAAATCTTTATTATAGTTGACCCTTGCCTTAATGTATCTTAGTCAGTTTTGTTTTTGTTAACTAAAACTAAACTGTAAACTTTTTTTGTATACTTAAATACAGCTGAAATAAAATATAAATATTAGATTAAAAAAAATCAATAGGCTAAATAAGTACAAGTTGTACTAAATTACAAAAACTAAAACTGAAAAATAAACTAAAAGCTAAAAAACTAATAACAATAACAAAGGACCTAATAATTTACAAAAACTTAACCTAAAAGTAAAATGAAAATGTAAAATGTAAAAATACAAGCTAATTTTAAAATATTAATAAATACTATAACTCTGTCAATATGGGGTGCTGTGTGTACATTAATGAGGAAAAAAATTAACTTAAATGATTTTAGCAAATGGCTGCAATATAACAAAGAGTGAAAAATTTAAGGGGGTCTGAATACTTTCCGTACCCACTGTAAATCATACTAAAATAACACTGTTTTCATTGTGTCCACTCAAGAGCTAAAATACGATGATCAGAATTTTAGTTCAAACAATTATCTTTTGCTAAATGTTTAAAAAAGAGTTTATGTAGCTGTTAAATAATTAATTGGACAAAACCTTGCAATATGGAGAGGAACAGCTTTTCTACATCACATAGTATATATCAACCCAACAAATACATGCTTGTTCCTTAGGTTTTTTCAACAATTAGTTAGAATCTCTTCCTCTGTTCATGCACATGGTTCATAAACAGTCCACAAAGCCTGAGGGGCAAGCATCTTGTTCGCCTGGTCTCTACGGTAACATGGCTTATTTGATCTACTTGCATGGATGCTGTGAATCATGCCATGCTCAGATATCCTGATCTTGTCATACACTAGTGACGTCAGGCCTGTTAACAGCAGAACAGCAGAACCCCTGTACAATGTCCAAGCAGGTTAAGCAGAGCATGCAGAAGGTGATGGGGACTCTGGCTTTTTAGTGAGCCAGGTCCTTCGGTTTAGCTCAGCTATATATTTTGGCTCCCAGATGGTGCTTCACGTCTAATTCTAAAAATGTAGAAATGATTTGTGTTGTATGTGTTGTGTTCTATGACGTATGTGTTACACATATCACTTAAACTGTAACATTTCCTGAATGTTTGGTGTAAAAACCTTAAATAATGTAAAAACATCAAACATTACTACACATTATCATTGAATATTTTATTTATATTGAACTATCCAAAACACACCCCAATGCAAACACTCACACAAAGCAGCATCCAAAAGTCCTGAAACTGATAGCTCATGTTTTGAATTCCATTGTTTTTCCAAGGAACAAATAATAATTTAGGTCAGCCAGCCAGCTTTCCAATTCACCTCTCAAAGGCCAGCTGTACCAGAACCTTCACAAGAAAAAAGAAAAAAAGTCAGGTGACGCAATATAGTGGTACAATGGAGCTGCTGAGTTATTTTTGTACATTGCATAAAGTAGTAATCTCCTTTTGGTTATGATCTTGGATTCTGTGTTCTTTTGTACTTTCTGAGCAAATGCATTTGAGTATACTGGAACATTGTAACCAACAATTGCATAATTCCAAACATGTTAATCATTCATTGTTCATACATTCAATAACTCATTCATTACTTTTTTTCATTTTGTATGAAATAAAGTCTAGTTGCATACATTCATAACATAACCCACTGTAAACTATCCCAACATCAACTTATCAGTCCACGCCTGACTTTCACATGATTGAATTTCAAGCCAAAATCCCAAGAAAACTGACCTTTTGGGGAAAATGAGCTTTGTCACAGGAATCAGTCTTGGATATGCTGCTATGAGGAATGACTAACATTTTCAGTCATATGATTTCAATTAATAAGAAAAAAAAAATACAGCTTTAAAAACTTTCCTCAATATATTTTCTTACGACTTTGATCAGGTTTTCCCAACATCATGGGAAGTAAATGTGCCCACAAGGCAATATGAGGAAAATATGACTTAATAAACATTCAAAATAATGATTTAATGTCATTTTAATATGCAAAAAAGTTTTGTGTGATGGTTAGATTTTGAATATAAAATGTCCTAAAAACAGTACACACATTATCAATGGGAAGTCACATACAATGTCTGTGTAATTGTGTACACTATGCCTTTCAAATGAGTAGAATTCTTTGTCATTACCATTTATATTTCACAACAACAAAAACAGCACTAACAACAACAATATTAAATCCAATTATTATTTTCATTATTATTAGGCTATTATTTAAAAGTGTCAAGGAATTTGATGTGTATGGGGGTCTAGCTTATGTGTGAGCACGTGAGGTCATAATTCTGACGCTCAAATATGTCTTTACATTCAGAAAAGCAAATCACGAATCAGTTCACGCCGTTTGCATGACTGTAACGCATTATTCAACTACACCCCATAAAAAGGGTGTGACATGTGTAAAACACAATAGAGCGCGTGCTCACACTAAAAGCCGACGTGTTCAATTGGACAGTGTTAGTTGAGGGCACCTATAAATGCCACGCTGAGTGGGCGAGACTTACACTGCAACTGAATCTCAACTCAGAAGCACTACGACAACCTAACTGGGGACCGGTTGCAGCTCTGAAAGAATAGACAGCTGATTGCATTTACGACTTTGCTTTTTAAATATATAACTATATTAATAATTTATTCTCTCTTAAATAGTAATTATAAGTGCAGTCAATGGAATACCAAAAGGCGGCAGAATTGAACGGTTTGTGCAATGGCAAAATTGTCACAGAGTATCTCTGCCGTAACGGCTTTAGCGAGCTGACAGTCGATACGAAGAAAGTCGCTGTGCAGCACAAAAACGAGACATCCCGGAAAGAGGCGGAGGATGAGTCGCGGTTACCTGCTCTGGAGGCGGCGTACACAACCATCCTGCGAGGTCTGGGAGAGAACACGGACCGACAGGGGCTGCTCAAAACCCCGCTCCGTGCAGCAAAGGCCATGCAGTTCCTGACCAAAGGCTACCACGAGACCATCTACGGTACGTATTATTATTATGCAGAAAATAAGTACTTTATCCAATTTCATCTGATTTCTGATATTTCCTTTCAAATATAGGGTTTCCAAACGACGTTTTAGTAAGCAAGTTTCAAGTTAGCAAACAGAAATCACTTTCACCTGAGGTCTGAGGAGGTTACTATAGCAACAGTAGCCACTCTGCTTTGACACATCCAGCTAGGATAGGCTACTCTTCATTTCTCTTACATTACTCTTTTTATACTCTGCTGTTTATTCCTTTATTATGACTTTACACAACACAAATATACCACAGAAATTGAAATATACTACTTCTGTGCTTTGTTTAAAGAGTCTTTAAGATAGCTGGCTGTGTGTCACCAAAAACTAGTCACATAACAATTGTGTGGAGAGTGACTAGTTGATTTAGAGCTCCCAAAATGACTGACAGATAAAGTAGACCCTCTGAAAGTCTTTGGATTATTAGCACATGGGTATATAAAAAAACTTGAACGTACATATGTTATAAATATGCTAATACTGAAAGTTTGAGTTATTATCTAGCTTTTAATATATAGTTCCATTGTTTATTTTTTTAGACCTGATTTTTAGTTTCCACTGAGCATTTTTAGACTTAAGTCTAAGTCTAGTTCGTAGCTCATCACCAAACTCGGGTTTTATAAGTTACATTTATGGGTATGAATGTAGCCAAAATTATGATCACATCATAGTGCTTATCAGTGGGTTATGTTTGGGCAGTCACATAATACCAAAATTGTTTATTTTATTAAACAATTAAACAAAAGGGACTATGGATGAAAAGTAGCCAGTGTTGGCTAAATCTGGCGCATTTTACATATTTATGTACTATTAATGTGCATTGTCCCTGGTTAAATAAATAAATAAATAAAATAGTTTTACCCAGTGGTGTGTCTGACAATTCCACTACATTGGTGAGGTGTTGTATAAAATACTTATACGTCATTCTGGAATTGCTCAATTGGTCTGCAACAGATGCTGAAAGCACCAGCTTCAATAGCCTGATTGGTGTAAAGGACTACTTAAACGAATCACATTTAAGTTGCTATGTATTTGCCTCTCTCCTGAACTGATCTGATTTATGAGAGGGTTTTTAACGCATATTGTTTTCAAAGTTCTTTCATAAACCCTTCCATATTGAAATGTTGTGTGTCCAGTAGCAAAAACACCATTAAAGTTATGTTACATATTAACATATGTGTATCATGTTCCACAGATGTCCTTAATGATGCCATCTTTGACGAAGACCACGAGGAGCTAGTTATTGTGAAAGATATTGACATGTTTTCACTTTGTGAACATCATCTAGTACCATTTTTTGGCAAGGTATGTCTTAGTATCTGCTGATAATTTCAATGAAAGATGCTTTTAGTCACTCATACTTCTTATGTTATGCTTGATGTTGCACCGTTAGGCAAGGCGGTTTCATGGGTTGTAAAGGGATCATTGATGCATGCATTTGTCTGGGCCTGGGAGATTGTTGAGTGCTGGGAGGTCAATAGGTTCTTTTCAATGAGCTGAAGTACATAAGAAATAAATGACCTTATTTGAATTAATCTGTAGGTTCACATAGGATATCTGCCAAGTAAAAAGGTTGTTGGCCTCAGTAAGCTTGCAAGGTAAGTATACAGCTTGCAAATACACACACACACACACACACACACACACACACACAATTTAGTGTGCCAGTCTCAGACGGATGGTAAAGGGCCTTGTTCTCACATCAGAGTGGGTCCGAAAAAGAGAACGTATTAGTTACAAGTGGCTGAGTTCTTCTGTTATCACAGCCCATTCACTTGAGGCTTAGATCCAAAGCCTGGCACAGTATCCTGTCCCATCTGAAAAACACCAGACTAGCTAACTTCTGGCGCTGAGGAAATCACCCTCAACTCCCACCTCCACTGCGGGGTGGTGGTGGGAACCATTAACATTGCAATCCTCACAAAATATCATGTACAGCCTGGTGTTTCCTTTGCCTGAGTAAAATAAACCAGACTTCATGAGACACCATTCACACCCCATTGATATCTATTACTAATCTTATTACAAAATTGTTTAGAATATTTACCATTTGCACTATAGTTATATACATTTGAGAAATGTTTATGAGAAAGAGGGTCAGAGCAACACCATATAACATACATACTGAAAAACATACAAGAATATTCTGCTAATATTGTCATGCTTTGATCTTAAGTAAATAGCTACATATTAAATTGGCTGTTTGGTAAGTGTTACATTTTGCTGGAGTGTTTTAACATACTATGAATTTTTGTCCCTCTTTAGGATTGTTGAAATCTACTGTCGCAGACTTCAAGGTAACTATCCTATTATTATCTAGATACCAAAAAAGGGAGATCGATTTTTTAAAAAGAAATAATACTTTTTTATTCAGCAAGAATGCATTAAATTGTTAAAAAAGTTACATTTGTAATGTTACAAAAGATTTCTATTTAAAAAAAAAAAAAAATTCTGTTCTTTCGAACTTTTCTTTTTTTTATTCATCGAATAATCCTCAAAAAACTGATCACGGTTTCCACAAAAATATCGATGTCAGTGTTACATGAACTACTAGTTTTGAGCAAAAGACCTTGAGAAACTAACACTGAATGGCCAAACATGCACACAGCTGCCTTAAAATGGATAGAATTATGTGTAATTTCTATTCTTACTTTTGTTATTAACAATTACTAAATTAACATATTGCCTCAGATACTTGTCTAACCATATGATGTTTTACAAAATGAAGATACTAGAACTAATTTGTATATAACTTTAAAATATATATATTTTTGTCATATTCGGATATATTTACTTTGTCATATACTCCGATATTTCTGAATATTTAAGATGTCATAAGCAAAAATGATGAATAATTGATAGTTCTATCAATGAAAGGTTTCTTGTGACATTACTGTGTGGCATAATTTATATTTGGTTACAAATAAACAACATTGCCATTAGGATATTGTCACTTTTTTTTTTACATAATATATGGAACTGAATTGTGTAAGAAAACAAATGTCAACTACAACAATAAAGCACCATTATGAAATGCATTTGTCTCTGCTTTCTTATGCAAATGACTGATTTCTGCAAAATGTTGTCAATTTTATTTGTCAAGAAATATTTACAGATGTAAAAACAGTCTCTTCGTTGTAATAGGTGTCCCAGACAATTCTTAATTTAACTGATATTAAGGAAATTATATTATACAGTATCTAAGTATTGCTTATGTTGTGACTTCTCACACTTAAAATGTGGCAAAAAAAATTAAATAAATTACACATACTGTAAGAGCCTCCACAAGTTTCTCTATACAAATCCTATTATGATACTATTATGTGGGTTCAAGAGACATGAAATCCAAAACTGCAATTACAAATGATCGCTGAAAAAGGAAATAACAAACAAGATCTCCAGAAAACATCTCCAACAGTGCTGACAAAAAAAAAACAGTGGCAGAATAATAAGAAATGAAAGCAGGCCATAAACATTACTGTACACTGAGCTTTTAGCTGTCTTCTATTGGCATGTCACTGTCTACAGTAGAGGAAATATCACTTCAAACAAGATTGATATATTTATATATTTTTTTTCATTGTGGAAAGAGGTAACATTTAAAAGTCAAAGTCTAGACTTTGGTAAGGACCAATGGCTAAGTAAGTAAAAAGGGCAATAAATTGCCATGAGGAGAACTTATTTGTATTAAATGGCCTAACCACTCTCATCATGTTTGGTAGTATTAAAATGAGGAATTATTTCCAAATGAATAAGAACATTTACAAAACATGTTTCCCAGCAAATGTACTCAAGGTAGGCATCTACATTGCCCAAACAGTACAAGCCAATCTATTGCTCTAAGGTTGAGAAAAATTAAAGAGAAAAATACCACTGACATATTTTCATTTAAATACAGTCATAAACCAGAGCACTCCTTTCGTAACATTGCCACAACATGCCGCAAACTTAACTCTTTTATGAACTTAAATGATCATTCTCAACACTTGGAAGAGTCAACACAGTCATCCACAAACATTCCCTTCTCAGCTAAAGACAGATCTCCAGCAACAAACACTAAATCAAACTGAGGTCTGTTTGTAGTTCTTGGTATCAAGAACCTTCTTCCCACACATGGCACAAATTCCTGCAAAAGTAAAAAAAAAGAGGGGTGGTGACTGGTGAGAACATATAGATGTGTGACAGAAACAAAAGAGCATCTAAGCATCCCTCACTATCGGTCTCACCTTTTTTGTAAGCACATCCCTGGCAGTAATGTGAACCAGACTGATGGACAGAGCTTTTGCATATTCTGCATGTGGCAAATCCAGATTTCCCATAAGGATCAAACCTGTCAAAATTGTATACATATTTTCAGCACGTCATCATAACTCTCATATTTACAAGACTATGATGATGAAGCATAAAATTCCATGCGACAAACCTGGCTTTTTTTGAAGTCAGCATTTTATTTTCATTTAGCTTTCGACCACCACTCTCTGAAATATAACATTTTTCAGGTCAGTATTCCTTGTTGACGAAGCATAAATACAAACATATAAAAGGGTAACAACTATAAAACATTATTAAACCTTTAAAACAATTACCTGTTGTATTTCTAGCCCCATCTTTCCAGGTATCAGGCGTGATGACTCGCCCCAGTTTCTTCTCGCCTGCGGAGGACATCAAAACATGCGTGATTCACAGACGTCCGACATATCTCATGTTTGATTGTCGTCACATTCATGTTCGACGATATCATCGTCGAGATAAAAAAAAAAACTGCAAGCGACGTTCATATATATATATAGCACACAGTTTTGTTGTTTCTTTCGCTGATCTTGCTAGCGAGCCAAAGCTACTGAATATGGCACGAGCTCCAATATTAATGACGTAGACACATTGGAGTAAAACAAATAATCCTTTGATATACAACAGGATTTATAATGTAACTACTCACACTTCTCGCAAACCATCTTCAAATGTGTCAGAAAACCGTCACTAACACGTCTAGATAGTTCTCAGTTGTTGTGAAAAATGAAGCTTCTTCTTCTTTGGTGTTTATTGGCGGTTGGCAACCTAACTGACTGGTGCATTACCGCCACCGATTGGAATAAAGTATGGATCAGGATTTTGCTTGTAGGACGAAATAAACCATAAAAACCAATCAAAACAAATAAAATAAACTAGAAATGAAAACAAAACAAATAAATAAATGAAACAATCAAAAAGACTATATTCTTTTATATGAGTCAATTTAACCAAATTATGGTCAAGTCAAGTCAAGTTTATTTGTACAGCGCTTTTCACCATACAAATCATTGCAAAGCAACTTTACAGCTAATTACGTTTCTACAATATTTAGTGGTAGCTTATCAGTGGTGACTGTCAGTTAATGTACATATGGCAGAAATGTACAGAAAAATCAACTAAAGATGTAATCAAACAGACGATGAACACTATTAACAGCAACTATTATATGATGCAATCAAACTTATAATAAAATGTGGTAGTTCTGTATGTTGTTTCAGGGTTGGCATCATCTGAGGTCCTCTGAGGGGTTGGCATCATCTCTTCTCAGGTGTTCTGGATCCAGACTGAAGCTTGTGTAAATCTTAGTTACCACGGGATGTCAATCCCAGCAGAAACAGAGAAACAAATACAAACATAATTAGCGTAGCTGCTGTTCCAACCAAGCAAAATTGATTTGTTTAACCCAAACTAAAGAATAATAATGTGCATTTGATCAGATATAACTGCAGTACAAGATTATGATATGCATTATTTGAATGCTTGGCCAAAGAGATGTGTCTTTAATCTAGATTTAAACAGAGAGTGTGTCTGAACCCTGAACGTTATCAGGAAGGCTATTCCAGAGTTTAGGAGCCAAATGCGAAAAAGCTTTACCTCCTTTAGTGGACTTTGCTATCCTAGGTACTACCAAAAGTCCAGAGTTTTGCGACCTTATGGTGACAAAAAAAAATCTCAATGACATGATTCCCTACTATAATCCCCTGTCTTGGTTTTGGGTTTTCTTCTTCTTCTTTAGATTGGTGGCTGACAACCAATTTTAAAGGTGCATTATCGCCACATACCAGACTGGAGTGTGGAGCAGTATATGACAAACAAGGGAACTAATTATATTCTTTCCATCAATCCTGCATTTTTTAGGTAAATCATGACCACATTCCAAGTACTTCCTTCTAAAAGCTTCTGAACATTAACATTTACAATGTCTTTCTTTAGCATTTGAAACATTTCCCTTCTTCCCTCCTCATATTTCCTACATTCCAATAACACATGTAACACTGATTCCGTTACCTCACAATTTTCACACAAGCCTGTTGGATGTTTGCCTATTTTGAATATTGTCTGATTCAGTCCAGTATGTCCTATTCTAAGCCGAGTGAACAAAACCTCTTCTTTTCTGTTTCACCGACTTTTTCCTGAATATTGTAAAGATGTCGACCCGTATCTGTCATTCGAGATTTTATAATACTCTTTCCCTCAGTTCTAATTAATGGGACATTTAAATCCACCGTTTTTCTTTTCAATGACAATATAGCTATCTTATCAAGAGCTTCATTTTCCTCAACGCCTACATGAGCAGGAACCCAAACAAAGCCAACGTTCAAGCCCTTCTCATGTAAACAGAATATGTTTTGATGAATTTCATTAATGACATCTAATCTGCATGATTTTTAATGCTTAAAAGAGCAGACCAGCTGTCCGATGCAATTATTGCATTATTCACATTATTTTCCTGTATCCAGTTTAAAGCTAGTAGTACTCCCATAAGTTCAACTGTATATACTGATAATTTATCTGTTGTTCTTTTTATAATAGCTATATCATGTTGAGGAATATATACTGCTGTTCCTGTGCGTCCTGTCTTTGGGTCTTTTGAGCCATCAGAGAATACCATTAACTTACCATATATTGCTGTTTAATATAATTTTATGCTAATAAACCTTTAGGTATCTGGATAGAATTATCCCTTATTTGTTGTTGAATATTAAAATCTATTATTGGCATCACAAATAACCATGGGGGGATATCTGAATAGCAAACTGTTGAGCTGTATTTCAGATTACATAACCCTTCATTCTCTCCTTTCCATCCAAAGCTTCTTATATTATATTTACTGTGTTCCCAACACTCATCTAAAACGTTTTTTTGTAGGATGAAAACTATTATGTCCTTCTAAATTAATCCAATAGGTTAACATAAGTTTAAGTCTCCTTATGCATAAAGGCATCTCTCCTGTTTCTACTTGTACTAAGCTCCACTACATGTTCTTAATGCTTGTGCCTGTTCCACATCCAGCTTCTTAAGGTGACT